GCAAAGCCGTACAGCAAAATGAGTTCTCGGTAGTGAGCAAAGGATCTTTCCTATGCCTGACTCTACTACTAAGCTACAAAAGCCTTCTCACATATCCCATAAAATGGGGAGGGTGAAGGATGGACGGAGGAAATAGTAAAGGCAGGAAATTGATGTAAAAGTACTACTGGACTAAGAAGAGTTCAGATGATGCATCACAGCTGAGCTAGGCTACATGATGCAAAGGGCATAGTAGTGAAAGGCTGTTCTACTATGCTTTACTTGTCCCAAGCTTTGGGTGTTTGGGCTCAGCACAAGTGAATTCAATAGTATGCTCTACCTTTCTAAAAGGCCTTCCTTTACACTGTAGTTCCCCACCCACAAAATAGCATTCACCCTGCCTCACCAGTTTGTGGGGTAGCACCTAAACTTATAGCTAGCTACATACTTTAAACATTCTACGTTGAAGATCAAAACAGGAATAGGTACATAAGAAGAACCTACTGCATTCCAGCATAACAGTTGTGGGAATTCCACCCAATCCTGAGATCCCTTCCTCGGCATCGCTAGGTCCACCCTCGTCATTGTCGCTGGGTCCTCCCTCGTCATAATCTCCAATACAGATACTTGCACCATTGCAAAGCTCAGACACGGAAATACACTGCAGTTCGTCTGCAATGGACACGAGAGATTGTCCATAGGATTTTCCTCGTCAGGATCCTCCTCTTCAGATCACATGGTACGAGTCTACTGAGGTCTCTACTACTCCGGCTTGGAGCACCGTAAGATAAAGGAAAAGCTCTATCAGTTTATGTTTCAGTCGGCGAAAGCGTTTCATAGTAGATCAAACGGATGGTCGCAGAAGTGTATGTCCGCTAACTACAAAAATGTGCTTAGCAGCCGAACATAAGGACTAAGTTAAGGACTTGGCCTTCCGTTTATCGCGCGAGTACGCATATCGCAGTTTGAAATTACATAGTTGCCATGGTATTCATGTCAATGCGTGGGCGCGCCACGCTGAGTCCTCCCAGCTGCGCTCGTACGGTGCGAGTCCCCGCGAGTAGAGGCCCCGGCGAGAGAACGAGCGACGACCCGCCGGCACCAAGCAGAGCTTGGTTAGTGTCGGTACCAGACCCTCTCCCGTCTGAGAGGGGCTGGTACCGAGACTAGAGCTAAGGCTAGAGGGGCTGCTGGTACCTGGGGTATCTAGGAGCTGATCCTTACACGCACACACGCGACTTAATTTCCGATGAATCACGTGACGCTGTTTAGAAAGACGGCTATGGCCGGTAAAGTCTACCTTTGTCGAGGCGATGTAGTTAGACGTTTGCTACGGCGATATTTCTTGGGGCGAAAGATAGGTATACCATCGGTTTGTAATGTATCAATTTTGGATGGAGAATGAAACTAACGGGTTGGCAGAGAAACACTCGGGAGTAGTTCCGACCAAGGTACTGTTTTTTCTCGCTTTTCGCCTGTTTCTCGCTTTTGGTGCCGCGGATCTCTATCCAAAATTGATACCTACTAGATAAATCCTCTAGGTCATTTGTTAAGTGTGGACTTCGCTGCCCACAACCAGCGTCTTCGTGACCGCCTTTCTTGATATTGTCTGGAGAGCGACCGCTACTAAAATTGTGCTATCCCATGGATGCGGAAGTGGGCGTGGTCAATGTAACCATACCCACTTGCGGTTTAATTGAGCTTTATATCAGGCTTTGTTTGACTTCGATGTAACCTTCGGTTGGCTCAAATCTTTTACTTCACTCAGTTATTTATTTCAGCCGATTTTGCTGGACCCAGTCCTTAACACACCTGAGTACCCGTGTTGTAGCGAGAAAAAGATATGAAACACTCACTCTTCCGCAAATTAACGGCGGTATGCCAGGGACCACTCGCTCGCTGAGTCATATGCGTGCGCATGCGCGGTAACTCATTACCTCATAGCGCGACCTTAGTGAGCACAACATCAGCGCATGCGCAATGCTTTAGCCTAGCAAAGGCTGCGTATTGCGCGTTTCGTGACCGTGCACATTAGTCAATCAAAAGTCATTGCTAAGTATTATGTAAAAAACAAGGAATGATTGACACAGCTAACTTAATTAGCTACTGAAATTTCCAGCTCCCAAGTTACATTCAGCTGGTCGTCTGTCGATGTGCAACCTGTCCATATGCTTGGTTCTCAGTCAGAGAAAAAACAGGTTTTACTGGCTCCTCGTACAGTGGTGGAGCCATTCTTCTCTTCTTTCTGCCTCGAGACTTCATCAGACACCACATCCCACAGCAGCCAAAAACCACACCCACTGGCAGGACCACCAGCAGAGTGAGTGTTACTGAAAGACCTGCAACAGCATCAACCGAGAAGCCATTTTCATCACTACTACAACTAGTAGTGATCGCTGTAGAGGGATTGCCAGTGCCATATATAACTGTTATAGAAAAAGTAAAATCTCAAATACACACTTATCATTCCGTGTAACATACAAGGCACTCCATCAAGGCTGATTATAAAGTAGATGGTCTCATCAGGGCCTAAGGTGATAGACGCAGCATCCACACAGAAGGAGGCAGAGTCTCCAGAAGAGATGGTCATTTCGGTTGCTTTCTGCTGGATCTCACACTCTCCTCCAGTCAGCGCTCTGGTTCCGAATGTTACCAGAACGGGAGATTTAATCTCTGGACACAGTGCATTTTTTCTCACAGTAACAATCAACAGCAACTGAGTAGTCAGCATCAAATCCTTTTCCACAATAACAGGCCGTGCTATAGAAGCAATTGGCATGGAGTGATTGGCTTTTCCCATACCTCATACCTAGATAAACAAACTCACTGTCAAATGTGCTGCTGTTTATAGTTGAACCAAGATCATTGGTGAGATTAACAGAGATTATGTAGACATCTCTGGAGACAGTCACAGTGCAGTAGGTGCTATTAGAGGTGGCATCAGAACAGGCAGGATCTCCAGAAGATAACATATGACTACTGGCAGTCTTATCAGTGGGAGTGAGGTTCAGAATGAAATCCATATTAGGATAGACCACTCCTTCTTCCATGTCATACTACAGTCGTGTGCAAAGATAACTGCTAACAATGACCTAAGAGCTACAACCATCCTCACCGTCCACTCAATTGTGCATGGCAATGATTCACAGGTGAACTGAACCGCAATGTTAGGTAGTGGGGGTGCTAAAAGAGTGTCCATATTTGTATACATGTACACAGTTCGTTAAAACACCACAGTGAATAAAAAAAAATATGCCCAACCCTGGCACCACAACACGTGTGTGGAGAGGGGAGAAAAAAGCAGTGTTTATGCAGTGTTACCCAAGTGACTGAGCATCTGCATCATCTGTTATCACTTATTAACTACACCACTGAGATTTCACTAACACTTGGTGTGCATGCGCAGCGAGGGTTAGGGTCATTGGTTTGTAGTCTGTCCGATGGATCTTGTATCTCGCGCTATGACATGCAAAAAGAAATGTACTAGCATATGGGGTGTGAAGTTAATAAAAAGCCTGTTTCTTTAAAATCGCTCACCCAAAAAAATATAGCATGTTTTGTTTACCGCGCAAGGTCTACTGCAGACATTTTATAAATTTCCTCCCATTAGCTACCATAAATCCCAAACCTTTCCATGGATTTGCACCAGGATTAGCTAAATCCTTATGTCTCCTTTCCATGGAAGGGCGTGACTTGCTATTAATGTGAACTACAGAATTTCTCATGGCGTTCACGAACAATGGTATTTTGACACTTGCAGTACAATCACCTGCAGCAGGTATGTTGATAGCTGCTGGCTGGCTTTCCTGGCCACATGTATTGATAGCTGAGACCATAACATCTCCATACACCAGATAAGAGGTAGTGTAGCTGACACTGTAACTGCTATCTGCAACTTCTAGCCTCCTTCCATTCACACTGACAGAGTACTTCATGACAGCCACTCCCCCAGTATAGGAAGGTCTGGTCCACTGGAGATTCACTGAACTCTCTATCACAACTCTATCGTTGTAACTCAGATATTTGGGAGGGTCTGGGGTACCTAATACAGGTTATTAAAACAACTATAAGTATGTGAATCAGGTGTTCTGCTTCATGTGCATGTGGAGGTAGTTGATCCTGTATTCGAGCCTTAAATCTGTAAAGTAGCTCTTAGAAGGCCACATTTGGATGCTTTTTGTACGTGATTCAGGTGGGATTTGACCTCTGGCCTTGGCCTTAGGCAAACCATTGGGGTTAGGCAAAGTTGTACGTTGGAGAAATTTGGTGCAACAATTCTTACCACTGAGAATTATTGAAGTGCTCTCTTTGACTGGAACTGCTCCAGTGACTCCCACACAAGTCAAATTTGATCCATTTACCGGCTCCAGCACCAGTAGAGTTGAGGTGAAGAAGAACCTAATAGCACTGTTGGGATCTTCCATCCTATTTCTTAGAGTAGCACTATATGCATTATCAGATGAATTATCTACAGCCCCAATGTCCATTCCTCCACCAAACCCCAGAGTTTCACCGGTTGGTAGAGTCCATTGCACTGCAAATGATGGTACCAATATCTGGCACCTGAACTCAATCATCTGCTGCGGACATGGCAATTGCTGCAGGGGATCTGGTTCAATCCTGACCACAGAAACATCCTGTGTTGCAGCTAAAGAATGTAGGAAATGTATAATTGTGATGCAACGTAAGGTAAACAACCTTGTGTTATCCATAACTAACGTGGTAGAGTTAAAAAATAACTAGACTTTTCAAACATATTATACACTATATAAAATATTACATTTTAATCCTTAGTTCAGTCACACTAAAAGCAGTACATTTGTTTAACAGGCAAAGATTGTGACAGACATAATTATAATATAAATTTCGAAATGCAGCAAAATATTCATACCTGAAACAATCATTCGACAAAGACCCAATAAAACGAACACACATATCACCTGCATGAATAACACAGTATTATCCACATCATCGCAGTACTGGTTCTTACTAACACAGACATTACAGTCGTGCTACTATAATTGGCGAGCGGAAGCGAGCTAACCTACTGGTCCGAACGGCGCGATTTTTCTATATATATAATTATTATATATATATATATAATTATATATATAATTATATATATAATTATATGTCACCGTACGTCGTCCAACTGCGCATGCTCCAGCATTACGCGCTTCTTTTTATCCGAAAGGGATTTCAACATTTTCATAATGCTGCCTGAAATCGAGCGGAATCATGGGAAACGCAACACCTCCGAAGCTATCGAGTATTGCTGCACAGTCCAGCGAGAGATTTTTCTACATTGCCACTTGTTCTATATTCCTGCAAGACCAATCAGATTGCAAGACCAATCGGATTATGCCTGATTCGCGCTGTCGTCTGACTGTTTTTGACTCGACTCGAATTGTCTACTGCGCTCGGGTCGTTTCGGCCTACTTGGTCCTGTGCAATGTATCTCACTGCTTTGTGCACACACAAGAGTGACTCATACGATTAGACCCCAATTGTAAGCGCGCTTCCGCTCGCCAAAAATGCCATGCATTCGCCTACTAGTAATAATAATACAGCTCACAAAACTCATTTATCCTCGTCCCTTCACTGGGTTCAGTATTCCGTACTTCGTACCAGTCTTAGACACTTACAGAGGGACCTAGACTAAGAGTCTTCATTCGCTCTGGCACGAGGTGCACGACCCGCCGCTACTGACGATAATATTGTTGATGTTGCGTCACCCGTTAGCTTGCTGTTGTGGGAATGAGCTGTGTTTATGCACAGCACCCTCATGCCCGTATATAGGCTGAGGGGGTTCGGTAGCGCGGATAAACACCAGCGTAAGGTCCGCGCGACTCCGTAAGGCGCTCCACACCCACGCTACGTGAAGCTTTCCGCGCGCGTGCGTGCCCGGGAAAGAAGGCGTGGCTCCGCGAGAATCCTCGTCGCGCAAACCGCTCACTGCGCGCACGCACGCTACACTATGGGACTGAATACAAGATAACAAGTTTGTATATAACCAGTTATAATGCCGCGAAGTATGCGCGAAGTATGCGTAAAGTAAAAAAGAACCTACCCAATTTTAGGTCAGCTACGGGCTTGATACAGCCAAATAGCTACTATGAACTTAGCTATAATATAGCTAAAGGGAGATCAGTGTCATAATTCTGGGCAATGCCTGTTATTAAATGGGAGAATCCGGTATGCCGCAGGGACCACGCGCGTGAGCGGTAACTCATTACGTCATAGCAACCTACGCGTGCATATTATATAACACAACATGAGCGCATGCGCAATCCTTAGCCTAGCAGTCACAAAATGTAAATTTACACACTTCTAGAAACGTCAACAATTGTGAACTTTGACCAGGTAGGCGGGCGGCATTGCGGCATTATCTCGTAAAACCACCCACGCAATCTCAGAAGTGGTCAGTCCATTGGATGTGGCGGTCGGAGCTTTCATGTTCAATGTTGCTTTAATTAAATAGATTCCGGAGAATTGTGCGTGGGCGTATGTTTCAGATACTTTTTTCAATAGCACAGCTAAAACGCTCGTGATTTATAGTGAATTTAGGTATATTTCTCGGATTTTTCCTACCTTGTTTACCAAACTCATTAACATATTCATATTCCTCCTCTATACATTCTCTATGGGAGAGAAAACTCGTGCGCGACTCACCCAGGAGCGAACGGTTCGTCTCCATTATGCGCAGTGGCTTTCTTTGACTGCTTAATTCGGTACGCGGGAAGCGCTATAGAAAAAACGGGCGTGACCGGGTGGCAAAGGTCAACGTGAAAACGTAATGCTCAAAACCTGGCCACGCCTATTTTTCGGGATGCTAATACGCCTGCGCGTGCCGCAGGAGGCGCCATTGCGCATAATGGAGACGGACCGTTCGCTCCTGGGTGAGTCGCGCACGGGTTTTCTCTCCCATAGAGAATGTATTGAGGAGGAATATGGATATGCTAATGAGTTTGGAAAACAACGTAGGAAAAATCCGAGAAATATATTATACCTAAATTCACTATAAATCACGAGCGTTTTAGTTGTGCTATTGAAAAAAATATCTGAAACATACGCCCACAATTCTCCGGAACCTTCATCTACCCTTTCAGAAATAAAGCTAAAAGGTCCGCATTGAGTGAGGCATGTCATAAATGTCTGGGCAGGCTAAAAGGCAGGCACAAAGGCTGTGCGTAGGTCTGTAAAACGGCAGGAAGAAAGATCGCCACAGCGCGCGTGCGTGGGATTAAAGGGGTGTGTCGATTTGGGCTTAATTGCGCATGCGTGCCGAAAAAAAGGCCCGTTTCGTAACCGTGCATATTAGTCAATCAAAAGTCATTGCTAAGTAATATGTAAAAAAACATGAACGATTCACACAACTAACTTAATTACTATGTACTGAATATTCCAGCTCCTGCTACAAGTTACATTCAGCTGGTCGTCTGTCGAAGTGCAACCTCTCCATATGCTTGGTTCTCAGTCAGAGAAAAAACAGGTTTTACTGGCTCCTCGTACAGTGGTGGAGCCATTCTTCTCTTCTTTCTGCCTCGAGACTTCATCAGACACCACATTCCACAGCAGCCAAAAACCACACCCACTGGCAGAACCACCAGCAGAGAGAGAGCCACCGCAATACCTGCAACAGCATCAACTGAAACAATACTTTCATTGCTACTACCACTAATAGTGATGGCTGTAGATGCATTCCTTGAACTAGTGCCAGATATCACTGTGGGAAAGAAGCATTGAATCTCAAATACACACTTCTCATTTCTGTGTAACGTACCAGGCACTCCATCAAGGCTGACTATAAAGCAGATTGTCTCACCAGGGCCTAAGGTGATAGGCGCAGCATCACCATAGAAAGAGGCAGAGTCTCCAGAAGAGATGGTCATTTCAGATGATTTCTGCTCGATCTCACACTCTCCTCCAGCCACTTCTCTACTGGTTCCAAATGTTACCAGAACGGGAGACTTAGTCTCTGGACATAGTCCATTTCTTCTCACAGTGACAATAAACAACAATTGAGTGTTTAGCATCAAGGAAATTTGCTCTGCTACAACTAGCACTGCCACTATGGGGATATCATGGGTTGATAAAGATGTAACTTATAGAGCACACTCACTATCAAACCCTGCACTGTCCACAGTAGAACCAATGTCATTGGACTGGGTGATAGAGATGTTGTAGATATCTCTGGGGAGTGTCACAGTACAGCTGGTGTCAGCATCCGTCAGATCAGAGCAGATGATCGGTCCATTGTTCAGCTCCACAACCACCTCCATATTTCCTGGATATACCACTCCCTCCTCCACAACTCCATACTGTTTGGGAAGTTGCTGTTGGCTTTTCTCAACATGTTACACATGTACCTTCTTACCATCCATTCAATTGTAACTGGTGCAGAATTCTTCAGGTTGACATCACAACTGAACTCAACAGAAACATCGGAGATATTTGGTGGTGCTGAAATTCAAAGTTAGAATACTCATATTAATTTATCCACAGCTCTTGAAAAACAGCTACTTGTGGTATTATAGAAGGCATTTTGTAAAAAAGTAAGAAACTGCAGCAGTTTCACGTGTATTCATAGTTTGCATAGTGACAGCATCAACTTCACATGCCAATTACACCCTGACATGAATGTGTAGAAAAATGAAACAAAAATAGATTGAGATGGAACTACTAACGTTTCTGCTACCATTATTATTGTACAGCCTCAATCTTCTGAGTCAATGTGTCATTACTCTTAGTTTGAGGAGAGTTTTCTAAAGCCCATCGTATAATAATTATACACAAGGCAACTTGCAGCAACAAATTTTCAGAAACAGAACATTATTTCCTAATTATTGCTGAAAAACCACTGCAAGAGACCTGCCACTTGCAATCGTACACAGGGCAAACTTTTCTCGTGTTTTGAGCAACAAGTTGCTGCCTCGTATAGTTAGTGGACCCAAAGACATTGGCAGCAGTCCTTTCCCTGTGATGCGTGTATATAGCTCCTGCCATGACTCAGGCAATGTCAATGAATCTCGATTAACCACGTGAATCAGGATAGTGTATTCATTCTCATGGGTTTTTTGTGTATGACTTACGCATACTTGCACTGGGCGAACGGTACAGATTTCCGTAACGATAATGAAGTCATGAAGTTACGGAAATTCCGTGTACTTCGATCGGCCAGCTTTCCTCAGTGGGAAAGACGGTAAATTTCACATTTCAGAGCGTTTCATGCGCGCTGAACGACAAGGAAAGCCACAGCGCATAAACCAGGGCTTACCAGTGTCCGAGGTTGGCCAGGCTAAATATGCTTATCACCTACGTTTAGCACGCAAACAAGGACTCGTGACCGTTCTGCCCGCGACGAGAACTCATCAAACGGAGTTGGTTTTTAGGCCAAATTCTTAGCGGTAGGTGTACGGCAGGGTTCTGTCACAAAGCAGGAAAGCTGCGGCAGATATTTAGGAGCGAAAAGCAACTTGGGTCCGCCTGTGGGTCTCCGCGCGATCAGAGGAGGAGAGAAAGGAGGAGAATCGGTGAACTGGCTGACTAAGCGACGCGTGATCTGCTCGTGATGCTCACGTGCACCGAATAAGCAGCTGCCATTTTCAAATCTCTGGTGTGTTTCTTCGAGGAGATATCGACAAGGTGCCACCGGAAAGCTTCTTTTACCCCTTCCCTGACACTTATGGCCGACTGCATACAGCCGAGCATTGTCTGGTGTTGAGAACAAATGAGCGCCGATCTTTGCCCTTCTTGGTTTGTACTTTGTCTCTTTGTGCTGGGATAGCTTTTAGCTATGCGTCTTACTTTTCATTTTGTAGCTCTGATGGATACTATTTCGCCTACCTCGAGCGTGTGCTGGAGCAGGGTCTGGTTGTGTGAGAGACAGAAGTGATACACTTCAAGGTGTGAAGACTGCGTTTTAGGATAGGATAGTATCTTATTTCTTTTTTTGCAGCTCCGATGCACCTACCGCGCGTGTGTGCTAGTTTGGGCAGGGTCTCGGTGGAGTTCCCTTCAGGGTTTGTACATTGATATATATCTATGGTTTGTACTACATATGCACGCTGGCCATGCATTGATATTGGTGCATGAAGCTGTTTAGCTGTCAGTCTGGCGTGAGTTTGTCGGGCTTTGTGGCCGTTCGGCTGTCAGTCTGGCGTGACGTTTGTCGGGCTTTGTGGCCGTTCGGCTGTCAGTCTGGCGTGACGTTTGTCGGGCTTTGTGGCCGTTCGGCTGTCAGTCTGGCGTGACGTTTGTCGGGCTTTGTGGCCGTTCGGCTGTCAGTCTGGCGTGACGTTTGTCGGGCTTTGTGGCCGTTCGGCTGTCAGTCTGGCGTGACGTTCGTCGGGCTTTGTGGCCGTTCGGCTGTCAGTCTGGCG